TAAAGATTAATCTTTGGTTAGACTACAAAAGTTCGGTCAAGAGCAGTGAGTGTAGGGGTGGGCGATATGGCAAAATATCATATCACGATTTTATAATTTTTTTTCAGGGAAATCATGATTCACTATTTTAATCACGATTCTTTGTTATGTTGGTCTTACTATTTTGCAAGTTGTCTGAGCAGGACAGCCAAACTAATTTCCCTATTTTAAAAACAAAGCCTTACAAGGTAACAAATTATAAAATAAAAACAAATGGCAGATATTTAGGCCAAAGTGGGCGCAGATAAAAATCTATGTCATTATTTTATCTTTGTTATCAAAAAATAAGAACAAAGATACACATAGAATAAAGGCACAATACCATCAGGAGACTGCGTGCCAGTCTGAGTATGGAAGAAATAGTGAGGAGTGAGTTCATGCTTTTATTTAAGTGCATGCACACGTGAAATACAGTCAATTACTGCACAGAATATTCACACCAATTAATGTTCAAGACAGCACCAATGTTTCCTCTTCAAGCACTAAATCCACAGCATCACAAGAAAATAAATCCCAGACTATTTCACCTGCAGTCTGAATTTAATGCAATGGACTTTTTTTAAATTAAAGATTAATCTTTGGTTAGACTACAAAAGTTCGGTCAAGAGCAGTGAGTGTAGGGGTGGGCGATATGGCAAAATATCATATCACGATTTTATATTTTTTTCAGGGAAATCATGATTCACTATTTTAATCACGATTCTTTGTTATGTTGGTCTTACTATTTTGCAAGTTGTCTGAGCAGGACAGCCAAACTAATTTCCCTATTTTAAAAACAAAGCCTTACAAGGTAACAAATTATAAAATAAAAACAAATGGCAGATATTTAGGCCAAAGTGGGCGCAGATAAAAATCTATGTCATTATTTTATCTTTGTTATCAAAAAATAAGAACAAAGATACACATTACAAATACACAATGTACAAATAAAACCAACAGTGCTTTATTTTTCAGGGACATTAGGTGTATTTAGCAGTAGCATTCAAGAAACTGAATGAACAAATAAAATAAAACACTATATACACACACTTAAATTATATTAAGCCTTAAAATTCTGCATAATTAAGGGCGTGGCCACTTGAGTGACAGCTGGATTGCCGCTGCTGTCACCGGCGTTGATTTAGGTGGGCATGGTTTCAGCAACCAGCTCCCACCTCTTTGCCCATTTTCGATTGGCAGATATTTAGGCCAAAGTGGGCGCACAAAAATCTATGTCATTATTTTATCTTTGTTATCAAAAAATAAGAACAAAGATACACATTACAAATACACAATGTACAAATAAAACCAACAGTGCTTTATTTTTCAGGGACATTAGGTGTATTTAGCAGTAGCATTCAAGAAACAGAATGAACACATAAAAAAATAAAACACTATATACACACACTTAAATTATATTAAGCCTTAAAATTCTGCATAATTAAGGGCGTGGCCACTTGAGTGACAGCTGGATTGCCGCTGCTGTCACCGGCGTTGATTTAGGTGGGCATGGTTTCAGCAACCAGCTCCCACCTCTTTGCCCATTTTCGATTACCCGGGAGTGACGCACGGTGACGTGCTGCCAAGATGGCGACGGCCAGCTCCGCCCACTTTGAGCTTCAAAACCATTCCATCAACTGTCCCGAGTGTGTTTCACACTGACCCCTGGCCATCGGGCAGTCCTTATTGTTGAGCCTTGATATGTAAACAGCTTATTATTCTGTGCTGCCTGTTCTCTATATGTGTGGTTCAAAGAGACAGGTTTTCTGTAGTGTACAAGTCAGCAGGCATGATTAAATGCATTGCTTCTTTTTAAAGCATTGATTTAATTAATCTTCAACTGTATTAAATTAACACATAGAATCAACAGTCTCAAATTAAAATATGGTAGCAAAATAGTATTGTTTTTTATAGACATAGTTGGGACCAATTATAGAAGGTCTGAATGCTGAAACACTGGGCACTATTAGGCCCTTTCGCACCGCTTTAGTTCCAGAACTAAAGGTACGGTACTAAAGTACTGGGACGATTTTGCACAAACTATTTCCCAGTATCATTTAAAGGATTGAATTCGCACCGACAGTGTGTACAAGGAAGTGACGTAAGCCAGTCGACAGCGACGTCATTTGTGCGCGGCGTTCAACAACGGAAACAAAGAACTACGTTAACAACAGGAGGATGGAGGACCTGGGACGATTTTGCGCAAACTATTTCCCAGTATCATTTAAAGGATTGAATTCGCACCGACAGTGTGTACAAGGAAGTGACGTAAGCCGGTCGACAGCGACGTCATTTGTGCGCGGCGTTCAACAACGGAAACAAAGAACTACGTTAACAACAGGAGGATGGAGGACGCTGTGATCAGAGCTGTGTTTTTGTTGTGTCTCGCGGGTTTCACAATAATGGACATGGAATGTCGACGTATACGTAAAGCGACTGAAAGAATGGAAAGGAGGACTAAGAATCTCCAACAACAACTGGCAGTGCTACATTTGCTACAAGTGCCTGCACTTCAGCATCCGTCCATCTATCGCTGTTCTCCATACTTGCTAAATAAGTTGACATGCTTACAGTTTGTTTATACAGAGTTTTAAATCATGATGGGTGAGGGCATTTTCATACGCGTTTGGCCAATCAATGTCTACTTACGTCACGATTAGTACCAGTTGTGCTGGTTAGACCCTGCTCTGGAGTAGGAGCTAATTTGGTTCTCGAAAAAGGCAATCCGGTACTAAAATCGCTCCCAGTTCCGGCGGTGCGAACACGCCGAAAAGTGGGTAGTTCCACAATTAGTTCTGGTACTATGAAAAGGTTCCTGCGGTGCGAAAGGCCCTATTATCTCTAAGTTAACAGTCCCACTCATAATCTTTAAATTATGACAATTTTTCATCTTTCATATTCAAATTATTCCTCAGAAATGGGCTGCATTCCCTGTGGCTAAAGCCTATAAAACACTTCCACACTTTGATTATAAAGCGATATCCCAGAAATCATCTTGCTCCGAGAGAGAGAGCATGCAACACATAATGCCTTGTGCCTTCACTTCTATTAATTAGTTTGCAGAAATCAAAAGCTTTGCATCTGATGTCTGAGAGAATTCAATTAAGAGGCAAACGCCCTTTTGTGTTATTGAGTTAGGAGTGGCCACACAGCTCAGTATAATAACCTCCAGTCCATACAGAGAAAGGACAAACTTAATACCCCGAGGGCTCATTGGAGAGACCACTCTTTCCTGAGAGGGTGGTCCAAATGGCCTCCTCTAAAGCAAATGTCAACGATGCGCTTTCCATATGAATCCAGGAACCGTATGCTGTGTTTCCATTATAAATAGAAAATGACCATCATGTCCATAAAAGGTAACAAATACATTACGGTTAAAAAAAATCATCATAACCTCTATAAAACATCACCAAAGTACTTCACATTCAGCAATGTATATTTAACATTTTCTACTTTTTCACAGCACATATATTTGGTGCATATGGCATTGCAACCTAACCTGTGATTTTTCATATTCATGCAATTTTGTTTTCCATAAATTCTCACATTTTTTCACAACTTCTCAACAAATCTTCTCACATTTGTGAGAGTAAATGTGTTCTGGTGTTCTTTCCTGAGCCGTTTTGTTGCTCTGGAATAACTGACATTGCCAACTAATGGCACTATTAACAGTACATCAAATAATATGAAAAGCCAATGCACCCTAGCTAATGTTTTACAGTTTTATTATTTCATTGCTATTGGACCAAACACCTACACACTGAAACTTCTATCTGGCAGATTTCTTTATGAGTTAGGTCAGCGTTCCCTGCACCACTGAAGCTACAGCACCACAGCAAAAGAAATCATAGGTTACCTAGATGTTAGTCTCAGCTTCAGACAGTCACGCCCATGGACCGTTGGCTGAACGTCTGATGCATACGGCACACAAAAGTGGAAACACTTCAGGAGTTTCGAAGTCATCATCGGATTGGTTGAATTATACAGGACTTCTGGGAGACGAGTGTGTCGCGTTCTTTAATGTTCCGCCTGGAAACAAAGATGCCATGGCGCCAAACCCTCTCACGAAAGAAGAAAGCCGTCATGTTTAAAACTGTGACGATGAGCACTTATCAGGATCAACTAAATGCTGGATTCTCAAAAGTATGTGAAATATTTCAAGTTTGCGGCATAAAATCTTTAAAATACGTCCAAGAGTTTTTTACACACCGGTCTGTTATTGTGGCGACATTTCCATACCCCGAAGCGTGACGCTGAAACTAAACGAACTGTGATTGGTTGTTTGACATGTTGGTCAAATGTCCTCATGGGCGGGCCTTGGCCAATGAAAGCTGCCATGAATTCCAGACCTTCAGCCGTCAGTCTGAAGGTCTGGCTACGCAAGACTACCTAGATGTAAACTTCCAGCTTGAATTGAAGGACCGGAAAACCACAACATAAAACAAACACAACACATCTTCTATTGCGTCTTCACTGGCTACAGCCAAAAATAAATATACACCGCAACCTCTGTAATTCTATTCACATAAGAATAACTCATGAACCAGTTGAGTTGTCGTATTAGTCACAAATTATTTATCGAGTTCTTGAGTATGATTAAATTAAATTAAAATCTGATTCATTTACTGAACTATCTGAAAAACATGTTACAAAATCTTACTTTTGTTTGTAGTTAAGACCAATTACAATTTTATAATTTAGGTGGGTGGAGAAAGAACTCCCTGAACACTGAATTCTATAGGAAACACTGAATTAGGTTTAATGTAGGCCTTAATGTTTACTTCAGGCTGTTGAAGATGCAAATTATACTCAAAGCAAACAGCAATGGGCAATTATTGACAATCAGTTTTTATGTTTAAAGGTCTATGATTCAGCAATTCACAATATTTATGACTTTGAGCTTAGCATTATTCTTTAGAGGATGTAACAACATACGTCTTGTAGATCCAATATTAATACCCGACTGTTTCCCTGAGCCTTACCTTGTCCTTGTCCTCTACCAGGTCTGTAAGCACATCATCAGGATCCAGAATTCCCCCATCACAGTACTCAACATGGTGGGTTCGTACCAGGAAATCTCCCTCCTGCGAAACAAGTGTCAGTGTTAATAATCAGCAAGACAATATGTATTGATCTCAGACTTATCGGTTACCCAGGTTTCCCACAGTGATGTCTAAATTGTAACTATTCTTTTAAAAAAAGCATTGACTTGAGCCTGCCCATCAGGGCTAACAATACTCAATGTGTTTGTGCTATCTTTAGAGCAGCATGTATCAGGGCACTCTCATGTACAAGGAGCACAGGACATCTTTCATTACAGTGAACACACAACTCCTATACAACAGACTCTAAAACTCCTCTCCTAGAGGGGGAGTGCCACAAGGCTCTATCATGGGCCCGATTGACTTTTCTGCTTAATGCTGACAAAACACAAAGCAGAAAACATCAACATCCAGGCATCCACAAATCATTAAACCATTGTAAGCTCACAACTGCCACCAACCAGGTCCCAGGGACTGGAGTGATGTAACTCCAAATCTGAGCTCCAAATGACAAATTGATTTTATTCCAAGAAGTTAGGTATAAACAAGGCATCTGCACAACAAACAAAATAAAAATAACTGCTTTATTTATTTAGAAGCAGGGTAGTTAAAATTTCATTTTTGTATTGTAATTTTTATAATTGTTATTTTATTAATCAAAATACAACGCCCACAATATTATATTCAGTGTTGGGCTGCCGAATCTCCGAATGCGTGCATGTTGAGGGGTGAGCTGAGATATAGTACTATAATGTCTTCAGCCATTTGCAACAAAATTAATTTGCAACAAAACTATAAAGTTAAGAATTTATAGTGGAAGGTAAAATAGTAAAAAAAAAAAAATTAATAATAATAATAATAATAATAGTTTATTTAAACGGAATATGAAACGGAACCGGAAAATTTCTAACGATACCCAACCCTATTATGTTGTAATGTCAGCCCTAAATGCACTGAAACTTACCCTCTGATGTTCTGGGACAGACGGATTCTTTTTATTTGCAAGTGAACAGATATCAGACCTTACAATATGAATTTGATTCTGCTTAATGTGAGCTGACCAAGAGATAAATGTCTACACTTACTATACAAATCCTGTTTTATCTTTCTTCAAACATATAGGCTAACAAGCGAGGTAATACTGAATGTATTTTTTGGGGGGGAAAACTATGCTTGAACACCCGTCATAATCATTATCTGTAACTACATAAAAGTATGCTTCAGTGTTATTGCTGTGAAACAGCAGTCTAATTAACGAGTTCATAATCTCAAGCAGGTTTAACATTTGATTAAGTGAGAGGTGAAATCTTCACTTTGAAAAATGCACAAAGAGCACATCACCTTACAAAACATGGATTTTTTTTTATATCACTGTTGTGACATTTGTTATGATTAAGATTTGAGTGTTGTCTATTTGTTAGTCTTTGTGAATTATCAATTCTTGTTAAAAATATTTTCACAACGAAAGTCCTTAGTTGCAGAGAAGCATATTTAAAATAAGATACATTTACCAAAGAAACCTGCTAAGGATTTACATTCAAGAAAATACATAGCATGACAATCAATACTGCAGCAATGAAAAATGGTGCAAACACATATTATCTTCTCCATCTTAACAATGCTGTTCCTGTAGGCATTTAGAGGTGTACTGAGTGAGTTTTCTAAACATACACGTACACCCATCACCCTTTACATACTATTTTATGCCATATATGACTTATTCCTTATTCTGCTGTCTCTATTACGGCATCAGTGTTATGTTAGAGAAATAAAAAAACATTACGAAAAGCTTGTATTTCACTCAAACAATAAAACCATGACATTGGATCCCACATGATCTCATCTCACGCAGTCCATTTGGCATTTGACAGCCAATGCACCCGTTTAATCACAATTTCACCTAAATGAGCCCTGAGCTTTTGAACGCTAGCAGCAATGCAGGGTGAGCCGAAGGCCATGAGAGTGGCAGTTTCTGGCATTCAGCAAAGAGCGACAGTGTGCCAGCCTATGGGAATAATGCTGTATTACATGCCACATTAAGGCCAGCTATTCCCAGCTATGAGACCACTGAATGAGGGTACGAGTGTAGCGGGAGAGCTTGAACACCCGTCATAATCATTATCTGTAACTACATAAAAGTATGCTTCAGTGTTATTGCTGTGAAACAGCAGTCTAATTAACGAGTTCATAATCTCAAGCAGGTTTAACATTTGATTAAGTGAGAGGTGAAATCTTCACTTTGAAAAATGCACAAAGAGCACATCACCTTACAAAACATGGATTTTTTTTTATATCACTGTTGTGACATTTGTTATGATTAAGATTTGAGTGTTGTCTATTTGTTAGTCTTTGTGAATTATCAATTCTTGTTAAAAATATTTTCACAACAAAAGTCCTTAGTTGCAGAGAAGCATATTTAAAATAAGATACATTTACCAAAGAAACCTGCTAAGGATTTACATTCAAGAAAATACATAGCATGACAATCAATACTGCAGCAATGAAAAATGGTGCAAACACATATTATCTTCTCCATCTTAACAATGCTGTTCCTGTAGGCATTTAGAGGTGTACTGAGTGAGTTTTCTAAACATACACGTACACCCATCACCCTTTACATACTATTTTATGCCATATATGACTTATTCCTTATTCTGCTGTCTCTATTACGGCATCAGTGTTATGTTAGAGAAATAAAAAAACATTACGAAAAGCTTGTATTTCACTCAAACAATAAAACCATGACATTGGATTCCACATGATCTCATCTCACGCAGTCCATTTGGCATTTGACAGCCAATGCACCCGTTTAATCACAATTTCACCTAAATGAGCCCTGAGCTTTTGAACGCTAGCAGCAATGCAGGGTGAGCCGAAGGCCATGAGAGTGGCAGTTTCTGGCATTCAGCAAAGAGCGACAGTGTGCCAGCCTATGGGAATAATGCTGTATTACATGCCACATTAAGGCCAGCTATTCCCAGCTATGAGACCACTGAATGAGGGTACGAGTGTAGCGGGAGATAGCGAGGCTGTGGTGTAATGAAACGATGGAAATCTCTGGAACATTTTGCAATTTTTCCCCTGATGACGGTGAGCAGTGGGGCTCCTGCCGTATTTTTACGATTGCTTTTGTTGGTGCAGGGTCCATTACCAAGCCTAACATCATTACCATGCTCATAAACAGTAATGATGATCATGATGGTGATGATAATGATGCAATAAGATGTTGTCCATCTCTGAGAACAATCTTCCACCTCCACACTGCATTCTTGCACTTTCTGCTCAAATATGAAAATACCAATTTTGCCGTGAATTGAATTTAATAAACATGCCATTTTCTGACCCACACCTCATTTTCTGTTATGGAACATAATATAGCCCGAATTAAATTAGTTTTTATATGGTAGCACAAATTAAATTCATATTTTCCTGGGCACAAGGCACAAAGGCCAATATGAAGGGCTGTGTATGTGGGTAATCAGTACTTAAATGAGACTAACAGATAGAGGAAGAGTCCTGAACAGACAGCATGTCTGGACTCTCCAGTCCTACTCCAGCATTGTGTTTGATAAATATCAGCAGCGCTAATACAATAATCAGGAAGCCATACAACATTAATATGGCATATGCAGACACACACACCCTACAAGACTGAAGCACACAGCACTGTCCCCAATATACAAGAAATGACCAACAGCATGTTGACACTACAGATTGACTAGACAAGATGACAAGTTAGCGGGTTGGCTAAAAGAATAGTTGACTATTATAAGAAAGCCCTATGAAATAAGCTGTGGTGTAATGAAACGATGTAAATCTCTGGAACACTTTTTAAATTTTTTCCCCTGAAGAAGGAGAGGTGGGGCTCCACTGCCGTATTTTTACGATTGCTTTTGTTGGTGCAGGGTCCATTACCAAGCCTAACATCATTACCATGCTCATAAACAGTAATGATGATCATGATGGTGATGATAATGATGCAATAAGATGTTGTCCATCTCTGAGAACAATCTTCCACCTCCACACTGCATTCTTGCACTTTCTGCTCAAATATGAAAATACCAATTTTGCCGTGAATTGAATTTAATAAACATGCCATTTTCTGACCCACACCTCATTTTCTGTTATGGAACATAATATAGCCCGAATTAAATGAGTTTTTATATGGTAGCACAAATTAAATTCATATTTTCCTGGGCACAAGGCACAAAGGCCAATATGAAGGGCTGTGTATGTGGGTAATCAGTACTTAAATGAGACTAACAGATAGAGGAAGAGTCCTGAACAGACAGCATGTCTGGACTCTCCAGTCCTACTCCAGCATTGTGTTTGATAAATATCAGCAGCACTAATACAATAATCAGGAAGCCATACAACATTAATATGGCATATGCAGACACACACACCCTACAAGACTGAAGCACACAGCACTGTCCCCAATATACAAGAAATGACCAACAGCATGTTGACACTACAGATTGACTAGACAAGATGACAAGTTAGCGGGTTGGCTAAAAGAATAGTTGACTATTATAAGAAAGCCCTATGAAATAAGCCTGGTTTCATGTCTGACTCCAAGGTTTCTAAGGGCAGCTAGAAGGAGCACAACCAAATAATACCGAATGCAGGAACACACCAAAAAGACTACAGCCATTGGCCAACTAGCGTTCTGTGCATACGAGAGGGGAAATAACTCTCCATACCAGCAGGTGGCAGTAGTCTGTATTCGTCATTCAAAAAAAGGGAAACCGAAAGAGCTAGGACTGCAGATATACCAACCATAAAGCAGTGATTGCTTACCATTTTTACACCAATCTCGCTCACCACAGAATATAGCATATATAGCATATAGCATATAGCAACAACATTCGTAATATAGCAATACTGCTCTCTTGACTACGTGAGTTGCTTGCTTTCGTCACTTTACCGCTTTTCTGCTCCTGCACTGGTTCGCTAAGCTTAACAGCCAATCAAAGTGATCTCGCTCACCGATGGGCTCCACCACTGATTCAACATGCTCAATCGGCCGAAAAAGCCACCAACTGGGGGCAAAC